CATCTTGTGATGATAAATAGTTTAATTTATCAAGACATAAAAGTAAAAAGAAAAAATTCCATGTAATAAGCGTATCAAAAAATAAAAAATTTATAACTATAAAAATGTAGAATAATTCACAATTAAAATTAGAGATTTGATAATTCTCTCTCAGTAAATGATAAAAAAAAGTTAGACTGTAGCAGCAAACCCAAACCATGACAAATAAGCTATTACTGCTATGATTTGAACGTTGTGTTCCAGTCAAAATTTATGCTGAAACTTAATCCCCATGCAATAATATTGAGAAATAGGATCTTTAGTAGATGATTTAGTAGAAAGGTAATTAATAGTGATATAGCACAGTTAAAATACTGATAGTTACCTTGACTTTTACTGGCATGTGTAGAGCACCAGAAATGGGGATTGAATGGTGATAAAATTCCATTTCTGCAATTATTGATACCGTTTGTTATTAATCTGCCATTATGATATTTGTACTTAATTTTATCTTAATTTTTATTTTTATTCAGGAAGAAATTAAATAATCTCATCGTACTTATATCAAGAAAGTATTTGAAATTCTAATTTAAGTTACTTACAAATTCAACTAAAATGATTTAAAGATTTAAGACAATATTCAAGAAAAGATGTTAAGTATTCTTTTTCAGGGAATAGAGGATAGGTAATTACATGCTCCAAAAATAATTTTAAGATATTAATGTAATTTTATATAAAGAAAAAATAAAGGAAAACTATACGTCTCTCTACCTTTAAAAATATTTTAAAAGTGCAATAAAAAATAATTAGAAAAAATTTGACAATGTAGGTGTCTGTGAAAAGATTCTGTCTGTTAATACTAGAGAAATTAAGATAATTCACTATACCAACATATTTTTAAAACATATAAATGTATCCATATTTAAAAATTAATAATTATGTGCTCATGAAGAAAAAATAAAACCATGAAAGGCATTTGAGAAAATGACTTCCACAACCCACAAACATAAATATCACTACATGCATAACACCCACAAACATACATATCACTACATGCATAACACCTTTAGAAGGGAACAGCCTCAATGTGATTTGAATGGATTTAAGCAATGACTATAGCAGCAAACCCAAACCATGACAAATAAGCCATCACTGCTATGATTTGAACGTTGTGTTCCAGCCAAAATTTATGCTGAAACTTAATCCCCATGCAATGATATTGAGAAATAGGATCTTTAGTAGATGATTAACTCATGAAAGCTCCTTCCTCATGAATGATATTAGCCCCTTATAACAAAAAGTGTCACACAGCATTTGGCCCATTAGCCTGGTTTTTGCCCTTCCGTCCCATGTGAGAGCACCATGTGAGGACACAGTGTTTGTCTCCTCTGGATGATACACTAACAAGGTGTCATCTTGGAAGCAGAGAGCCCTCAACAGACACATCAAACTTGCTGGTATCTTGATCCAGAAATGTGAGAAATAAATTTCTGTTCTTTATAATTAGTTTCAGATATTTTATTTTAGCTGCATAGATGGACTAAGGCATTAAAATTCTAAACATTTATAGCATTCAGTTTTAGGTTCAGAATAAAACAGGGATGTCTGTTATTTTCATTTTATCCAATTATGTACAACCTAGAAAATCAAGAAGAATATACAGAAAATAAGACATAAACAAGTTATTTCTTGAAGACTATATAATTGTTTAGATTGAATGATAAGAGATTGTACATACAGCTTATTAGAACTAATTAGAAAATTTGGCTACAGATACCTAAAACACAAAATGCACTAGTATATATGATAATCATGAAAATGTTCAAATGTGTTAAAGGCAGATGATACATTCTGGTCTCTATCACTTATTAGATGTAATTCTGGTAGAAGTTATAATTAACTTTTTTGTATCTTTAATTTTCCTAACTATAAAATGGATATAATAATAAAATCATCCTAGTTCATATGCGTATTGTGAGACTCAACAAGTTTTTAATAAAGTGCTTAGCTCTGGTGCATAACACTTATTTTTAGATATATTGTTATAATTAATAAAGTACAGTTAGAAAATGTTAAAGTACAGATTTCTGCTCTGAGTAAATAGGTATTCATTGATGTCATTGCATGATAACCCAAAATAGAGAAGGCAAATTACATAGCTTTACTCTCTAACAATAAATTTTTTTAAAAGAGTAATTAGGTGGTTTACTTTTTGGTACAGTTTATAACTATATTTGTGTATACATATATACATATACATATATACACAAATATAGTTATAAAACCCATCATGAAATAAACGAGGGGGAAAGCAATCTTTAAACTAGTAATTCACTGAAGATTGCAACTTGCTTTGACTTTTTATGATGCACTTCTAAAGTTTACATAAACATGAAAATTACAAAGAAAACTACTTATTACAGTAAACTAAACTTCAGTAGATTGAAAGTTAAAATTTTAAAATTAAAACAGCAAAAGTAATCTAATGTAATTATACCAATATTGCTCAGAGTATAATTAAAATAACAAGCACTTCTAGAAGACATCAGTAAGACTGCAGAATAGGATATCTCAGGCTTTGTCCCTTTATACAACCCGATTATTAGATAATTCTGCAAGCAAAATAGCTCTAAAAAGCTCAGAAGTTAGCAACATAGTGGAACAAGAGTCTGCAACTGAATAAGACATGAACCTCACATGCCTGACACTACAAATCCCAGAATACACAACAATAACTGCACAAAAATGGTAGAAATAATTGTTTTACTTTGCCTGCATCATCCCGTCTCCTTGACTCTCACTGCTTAGCGCCATACCCAGGCCATGAGTATCCAGATGACCATCTTGCACATCCTTTAAGAAATAAATTCAGTAACTTTGCGGTATATAAATATCAACATAAAACAAAATCAGCTGTGTTTCCCTACACTACTAATAAAGTAGATGAAAGATAAATTTAAAAATTATATTTCCAATAGCATCAAAAATAAAATATTTAGCAACAAATTTAAGGAGGTAAGAGCTTTGTACACTGAAAACAGAAACAGAACAGCAACAGAAACAGAGAGGAAAAAAAAAAAAACACTCTAAAATACACATTGAACTGCAAAAGATCCAAAATAGTTAGAGCAATTTTGAGGGGGAAAAAAAAAAACCCCCGGAACTTTACACTTCTTGATTTCAAATTATATTACAATAAAATCACTAAGTCATAAAGATATCTATACTCACATGTTCATTGCAGCACTAGTCACATTATCCAAAATATGGAAATAACTGAACTGTCCATCAACACATGAATGGATATAGAAATTATAATATGTAAAATATACATATTTATATATATTTATATCTATACACACTCAATAGAATATTCAGTCTTAAAAATGAAGCATAGTCTGCCATTTTTGATGACATGGATTAAAGCAGAGGACATAATCCTACATGACAGCCAGACTCAGTGAAAAATACTGCATGATATCAATTTATCTGTGGAATTGTAACACTACGTTAAATAATAGGACTTACTAGGGAGAGGAGGGTGTGGGGGGGGGAGAAAAGTGAAAATATAAATAAAATGATACAAAATTGTAGTTATGTAGCATGAATACATCTAAAAATCTAATGTACAACCTGAGAAACATAGTTACTAATATTGTGTTGTATTGTGGTCTTTAACAAGACAGTATATTTTAGGAACTCTTCATCACCAAAAATGTCTTAAAAATTAAAATTAAAAAGGTAACTATGTTAGATTAATGGATATGGCTTTTGTTTTAGATTCAGGTAGTACACGTGCAGGTTTATACATGAATATATTGCATTATGGTGAGTTTTGGGCTTCTCTTAAGCCCATTTTCATTATCCTAATAATATGCATGATACCCAATGGGTAGTTTTTAAATTTTTGCCTCTCTCCCTTTCCTGCTATAAGATCTCCAGTGTCTGCTCCAGTGTTTGTTCCATGTGCACACAGTGTTTAACTCCCATTTATAAGTGAGGACATATGGTATTTAGTTTTGTGTTTCTGTGTTAATTTGATGAGAATAATGACCCCAGGCTTAATCCACGTTGCTGAAAAGAACATGATTTCTGATGTAGGCTAGCGGGCACAGCACATTGCTTACATATAGATAGACAAGCTTCTGTAGGCAGGTAGAAGTTAGATAAATACGGAGGAATTGGTATTTATTGTTCAGACGTCCTTAATTGTTCAGACGTCCTTAATGGAACACAACCTTCTTGAGCAAATTCCTACCAGCCATGCATACCACAGATGCCCACTCAGAGGAATATGGGATAACTGGCACAGTAAGCCATGGAGGCATTAGGGAATTACCAGAAGCACTGAGGCATAGTGTCCTAAGAAAAAAAACCTAGTTAAACAGTAACTTTTCATTATCTCAAATATATTTTGTACTGCAAGTAGTCTTAAGGATTAAACTATAAAAATTGAAACTTGTGATCATAAGCTTGTCACACAAAAATCTGAGCTTCTGGTGAAGGGGCTTCCAATTAAATATGGGCTGTCTCAGAAGGTTATGACTTTGTTTGAGGTGTCTCTCTCTAGCAGAGGCAGTTGTCAAAAGAAGGAGGTGATGAAGATTGTTTGCTTAGTACTTCTGGCAACTAGGGGACAATTCTTTTAATCTTAACAGGGAACCTGTCCTACCTTATTTGATTTTCAATTTATTTGTGCTGGAAACTGCAAAGTAGAACATAGGTAACAACATTCAAATTTCTTCTACTATTATTCAGCATTTCTAAATATAATGTTATTTTAATTCAAATCAAATAATATACTTAATAAATGCTGATGTTCTTAATTTGAAATAGACTTAGACAGCTTGATTTTATTTAAATTTAATTATGACTAATTCTTTTATACATTCCAATTTTGATACATGCAGATTATAATCTATCTTTATACAAAATAGTTTGTATTTCAAGAATTATGAAATTTTACTTTTAAGAAGTTTGAATCTCTAACAATTCCTTTATCTCTGAATATTTTCCTCCAGGCCACTTATTCCATCAATATTGAGGGGAAAACATACACTTTCCTTCTTGAAAAACAGTAAGTGAACATTTTAAAAAATTCAGTTGTTTTCTGTATCCTAAATGTTTACAATCACCACCCTAAATTCAACTTTTAAAAAAGCAAAAATACTGTATTTTATTTATTTAACATGTTGTATCTTCTCTGTCATTCATTTTAGTCTTGAATTTTAAGGCATTTTGACATTTTAAGTTGAATAATCTAGCTGAATTTCAATTTAATGATATAAATATTAACTTATTTCAAATAAAAGAAAATCACTACTTCTTAAAATAAAACCACAAATATAGCAATAAATAGTATAATTTTTATTTGTATAGGTATGATTTTTTCATTTGTCATGTCATTTTACATGTTTATATTATTTCAGATATTTTACTTGATATTATACATGCTAAAGCCAATTTAAAATGAAGACCAGGCCTGAAAAATACCTGAAGAAATAAAACCAGCGAGGCCATACAACCAGCTAGTTTTAACCTTGCTTGAATGGCAAACACAAGCAAAACTTAACTAGGGTTATTCCTGTTAAATGCTTGTGTTAGAGAAGTACAAAATTTAACCTCAGCCAATCAAAAACTAAATACAAATAACATTTAATTATGTGATCAGGGACATTTTAACAAGGTAACCCTGCAAAGAAAATCTTATAACTGTGATCTATCTAATAATTTATTTGTTTTACTTTGGTATTCACCCAATAAATACTTGCCTTTAACACCTTATCATTAAAGTATTAGACCTATTTTGATTTGATGGTCCCAAATTCATGAATTGTTCAAATTTTTAAAAATATGATCGTGCCTCAGATTTTTCTTTTAAGACACAATAATGTTTTTGTTACTGTGCTACTGTCAATCTATTGAATCTCTTAAATTCACTCTTTTCTATATTTATTCTGTGAGGAAACCAATGTTATTAATTATATATATGTGAGTATAACTACATATATGATTTTATATATATATAAACTCACTTCTCATATATATATGTATATATATATATATATATATATATATATATCCTTCCATAATTTTCTTTTCAATTCCTTTTGTCCTTTCCATAAAACATTTTGAAACCAACAGAAAAGTTTTTCTGTTTGTTTTTCAAAAATGTATTCAGTGCTTTGAATGATGTGTAGTTTTCACTGGCTTACTCTTGGCTCATATGTCAACTCATTCTTTAATGGTATTTAACATTCCATAGTATATGATATTGACAGATAATAAGGTTTCTAGGAATTATCACTAGGGAATCCTGCAGTAAACATCCTTATATATATCTTCTTATATATTAAAGCTTTTGTTTTATAGATTTGGTATCAAGAAGTGAGTTTATAATAATAACAGTAATAAATAACAACAAAAGTAATGTTTGTGAAGCACATGCTTATATAATTTGTCAGATATTCTTATTAGTAATTTATACATACTAATTGATCTATTTTTCACAACAACCTCTGAGACAAGCATTATTTGTTGCCCCAATTTATAGTATACTAAAATTTTGAGAAATATTGCCTGTACTTTTTAAAAAGATAGTACCAATTCAAATATCCAGAAACACTCTTGACATGCTAAGAAATTTTATCTTAGTTTAATTTTATCTTCAGTTTGTTTTTGCCTAATAATTTCTATAAATATTTACTGGCTATTTAGATTTTCCTGTATGAGGCTTACCTCTTCATATAGTTTTCTCAATATTTTTATGTTAACTTTTTTTCTTTTGAATGTTTAAAACTGATAAAGGAAAATTAGAATAATTTACACACTTGGGTACAATTGGGAACAATTACAATGAATGGTGCACATATAAACATTTTGCTTACATATTTAAAACAAAAGTGTATGTGGCAGATAATAGTGAAGTATCATTATTCTTCTTCCCAGACCTATTTGCTGCTCTCCTTCTGCAAGTGTAACCAAGCCTGCAGAATATTATACATTTTCTTCTGTTATATTTTTATTTTTTACTCTTCCATATACAAAAAAGATTTATAAAAATTATAATGTCTTGAGTGTTATTTTAGATAGACATAAGTGGTACAGTACTATATTTTCTATCACAAATTTATTTATCTTAGCATGGTTGACCACGAAAGTGACCTCAATTATTTACTCTTACCTATATTTTCACTCTGTGCCATGTAACTTTCAAGTTCTTACTATCAAGGGGTGGATAATATGCAACTCCCCTGGCCTCCCAACTCCAGCCATTGGATCAGAGTTTAACTGTGCAAGGTCTACTTCATGGGTATGATATCCCACAGGACACTATAGCTAGAATGGCCCTACACCTAGTTTACTCTATTACTTCTGTCTTGAGATTATTAATAATTTTAAATAATTAGACCTGCATTTTTATCTTACCTGGAGCCCCACAAATTATGTAGTCCATCCTGTGGTTATTCAGTTTACATTGATGTCTTACCAAAGAGATGGTGGCTGACTTAAATAAAGGCCTGAAGAAACTCATATTTTTCTGATTGCCATCTTGATTGTCATGCTCATGAAAATATTCTTGGCCTACCTTACTGAAAGCTAGAGATACATGGAGCACAGCCAAGGTGTCCTATTTATCCAATCCTAAATCAGCCAACATCTTGCTGAATCCCAGACAATTATGCAACACGACCAAGATTAACAGAACTACCAACTCTGTCCTCATATCACCCAGAAGTTGTGAGCATTAGATGCATTTTGTTTAATAGTAGGTGATTGTAGTTTTTTGATGTGTGTTATTCAATATTTTGCAGAATATTATTTTTTTAGCAAAATGAGTTCATTTATTTAAGTGCATATGTAGCTATCAAATAAATACATCTCATTTATTGTTTCTCCCCCTTATTTGTAGTAATGAAAATTTAGGTTGCTTCATTGATTTTATATTAACAACAGCAAGAAAAGCTGTTTATGGGTACCCTTGGTTATGCCTTCCTAGTACCTGTGAAATTGATGGGTTATGAGTAACAAAACAACCAGGTGTGTGACATACTGAAAAATTTTTTACTTTAAAGATTTTATACCAGTTTTTACTTTTACAACAATTCTACTCTCTACATTCTCAAAACATTTCTACTCTCTACATTCTCAAAAAAAATAAGTATTTTCATTTATTTGTTGTGGCCAATTAATAGTTGAGAAGTGTTTACAGTTGGTTTAATATGCATTTTATTGGTTATTATTAATGGGCAGTATTTTATCAAAGGTTTACTAACTATTCAAATGAAATTGAGTTGCCTCTCTTAAGCTTTTATTTTTCTTTGGTTTTTATTCTTAGTCATTTGCTTTGAGTTCTCTACTTTCAATTCATGGCTTTATTAACCTTTAATATGTTTATATTTGGCAAACATTCTACTCAGCTTATTGACTGCCTTCTTCCTTTGTAGAATGTATTACTATAAATGAAATTTTTATAAATAAATTATATTTACATTTTATTTTATGAATTTTTGCTTCATTGCTTACAGATCTCATTGTTTCATATCTCTTACATCTCAAATTTATAATATAGTAATTGCTGAATATTTTAAAATTTGTTTTAAATTTAAGATACAGTGCTTTTGGTTTCTTAACTGTATTGCATTTTCCAAGACATTTCATTGTGGGTTTTGTTTATTACTGCTTCTTCTTTATTGTTCCTTATATTGAAAACTGTTGTGCTTTCCCAGATATTGTTTAGTTAAAATGCTTTTGCATTATTTTCTTCAGATAGAATACATGGATTGCATGCTTTCTGAATTGTGAGACTATAAGAAACTATCTGCAAATGTTTCTTATAGTCTCACAATTCAGTAACATCTTGGAAATGTGTGGAATTTATGAGTTTTTTTCCTATTTATTTAAAAAAAAAACCTATACAGTTTATTTTAAATTAATTTTCCACACAAGTTTTGGTGTGTTTGCATCATGTGTATTTGTGTGTGTTTATTTTGATGTGAGGTGTTTCATTAATCTTCCCACATAAAATTCTTTTTTTAAATTTTTGGTTGATTGTTTTCTTTATCATTTAGTTTCTTAGTTATTTCTCTTTTTCTTTTTATTTGTTATAGATACATAATAGTTGCATATATTTATAGGATACATATGATTTTTTATACAAGCAGTGTGTAATGATCAAATATGGATAATTGGGATCTCCATCACCTCAAACATTTATTATTTATTTGTGCTGAAAAGATTCCAAATCTAGTCTTCTAGTTATCTTGAATACACAATAAATTATTGTTAACAATTATCATCCTATCGTGATACCAAACATTAGATTTTGTTCATTCTATCTAACTGTATGTTTAGTCCCCCAATAACACCGGTCTCTCTTTATCCTTATCCCATCATTCTTTCCACCTCTGGCAATCACCATTCTATTCGCTACCTCCCTGAGATCAATTTTTATAGCTACCACATATAATTTTTGTAGCTACCACATGTAAGTGAGAACATGCGACATACTGAAAAAAAATACTCTATGAAAATATAAATCAAACAGGAGTAGGAGTACCTATGCTTATATAAGATCAAATACAATTCAAGATGAAAACTGTAAAAAAGAGACAAAAAGGTCACCATATAATGATAAATGGGTCAATTCTGCAAGAGACTACAACATTTGTAAATATATATGCACCAAAACTAAAGTACCCAGATATATAAAACTATTTATTAGCACTAAAGAGAGGTAGACCCCAATACAATAAATAGTTGAGAACTTCAACACTCCGTTCTCAACATTGAACATATCATTTAGATAGAAAACCAAAACAATAAACATTTTGAGGGATTAATTAATTGGAATTAATTTATACTATTTCATCATATAGACATTTACAGAAATTTTTATTCAGCATCTGAAGAGGGCACATTCTTCTCATTAACACATGAAACAGTCACCAGAATAGAGCAGATGTTAGACTAGAAAACAAATCTCTGCAAATTAAATAAAAAAAAATGTTACCATGTATAATTTCTTTCATTTTTTTACCTCCTCATTTTTTTATTATATGGGAAAGTTATAATTTTACAACAACTTTTATAGTTCTACTCTCCATATCATAGTTTTCTCTATAAGTATTTCCAAATCTTTATTTTCACTGTTTATTTTACCAATATTTATTCTCTTTATTGGCTAAGGTATTAATTTTGTTCTTGGCAACAAATAGGTTTTTGGTACATTTTAAATTATTAATTCTAAGTGCTAAGTATTTTAGTTTTAGGATGCTCATTTTTAAAAAAAATCTTTAAGCGAGGTGCAGTGGCCCATGCATGTAATCCCTAGCACTTTGGGAGGTGGACGTGAGAGGATTGCCTGAGCTCAGGGGTTCGAGTCCAGCCTGAGCAACATGGGGAGACTTTGTCTCTACAATAAATCAAAAAATGAGCCTGGCATGGTGGCGCGTGCCTGTGGTTCCAACCACTTGGAAGGCTGAGGCAAAAGGATTGCCTGAGCCCGGCAGGTTGAGGCTGCAGTGACCGTGAGCGTGCCCCTGTAATCCAGCCTGGGCAACAGAGTGAGACTCTGACTCAAAAACAGTAATAATAATAATAATCTTCAAAAGCTTATTTTTGTAACTACGATCATACTCTTTAATCAATGTAAATGCATTAAGAATTGGCATTTATGTTTTCTTTTTGCTCCTTCATGTTGTGAATTTTCTTCACTTGAGATATTATCTTTGAGTTGATATTTTTATTTTTATTGTATCACTGAGTAACCCACACCCTTTTGTTGGTTAATGTAAACGCAAAAAGTATCTTTTTGAGGGTTCAGGGAGAATAAACTTGCAAACAAAAGTATTATCTTTTTAAATTATGCAGGCATGATATCTGTTATTTGTTTTATCTATAATTCCTTTTCTCGAGAACTGCTTTTGGAGTTTCATTTCCATCATTCCCACTTGCGTGCCTGCAGTCATTAAAATGTGACTCTGTCTGTGTACCAGAATTCATTGTCCAGGACTTGCACTGAAATTCATACTTTTTTTTTCTTAAATGAACTGATATTTTTTTAATGAACTGATAATCCCAGTTTTCACTGGGAAGCTCTCCAGTTTTGTTATTTGAATTGAAGACAATAAAAAAATCAGAAATGAAAGAAAATGAATCAAATATAAAGGCAGAAGTCATGGTGAAAGAAAGTACTCCGTAAGTGCTCCAGTTCCTCTTCTGGTGTGGCCTTGAAATGCCTCTTGGTGTTTTAAATCTTTGAAAAACCAGTCTCCCTATCATAAGTAACAGTGGTAGATTGCTGCTCAATGATCACTGTCTTCCCAGTGAGATTATCTTTTTCCACCATATTCATATTTGGCTTGTCTATAAAGTTGTTTGGCTTACGAAGTTTCATCAAAATATTTGTATACCTCTTCTGAAGAAAGTCTTTAGAATTTAGAACTATTGTGTGCTTCTGCAATTTAATTTTTCCTTCTGCTACAAGAAAGGCCTGTTTCAGGGATAGGCCATGTCTTTTCCTAGGTTTTATAATGAAGGCAGCGTGGAACTGACTCTTTAGTAAACTTGGAAGAGGCACTCATTTTAAGGCACTGAGAATTTGGGGTTATTTTATCAAAATATAACATCATGAAAACTGTTTAATGTAAATAAATATATATAATCTTATATATAGAATTACATAATTTAATGTAAATATACATGTATATATAACCTATCTATTGCTACTTTTGGCAAATACTACATTATTTATGCCATGAAATTACAATTGAATGTAAAAGAAAACTATTGTTGACATCTGGAAGCTTTGGTTATTATTGTACATAATCATATTTTTGTGAATTCATTAACTTGAATTTATTAATGCATCCATACTGTTTCTTGCTTATACTGATTGTTATTTTTTTTTATTTTTACAATATGCTATCAGAAAGCAGTTAGATAATGAAGGGATAAGTTCATCTAGTTTTGAATTTTGGGATTATAAAATGAAAGTAAATTTTTAAAATTTTATTTTTGTGTGGAAGTTATTCTTATAAATGACATAATCACAATAAAGTGTTATTCTTTTACTTGCATTAGGTCATTTATACACCCACATTTCCTGGTGTATTTGTACAACGAATTAGGAATACTGTATCAAGATTCTTCATTTACAAACGTAAGATTTGATTTCTGCCAAAAGAATTATCATCTCTGGAATTTGCTTATATTATGTATTTTAACAATATTAAGTCTTTTAATTCATGAACATGCAATGTCTTTTCATTTGTTTCTGTCTTATTTAATTTCTTTCATCAATATTTTTTGTATAGCAGGCTTTTGCCTATTTAGTTGAGCTGATTCCAAAGTATTTTATTATTTTTGATGCTGTCATAAATAAAATTACTTACTTTATTTTTCAGATAATACATTAATAATGTATAGGAATACAATAATATTGTATTGATTTTATATCTTTCAACTTTATTAAATTTGTTTTTCATTTATTTTTGTTTTACTATACTTTTATATTTTGATAGACACATTTAATTGCAAATATTTATGAGATACAGTTTGATGTTTTGATACATATAAGTGGTATAATGATCAAAACAACATAGTTAGCATATTCATTGCCTCATGCATTTAACATTTCGTTTCTTTGTGTTAATGACATTCAAAAACCTTTCTTTTAACTGTTTTGTAACACAAGTACATTGCCATTAACACATTGTCCTCTTACTGTGCAATGGAACACTAAATTTATTCCTCTTTTCAAACTGTAACTTGTATCTGTTAACTAACTTCTCCTCATCCTCCTCTCCTCCCTCAACTACCCAGTGTCTGATTACCACCAGTCTACTCTCTGCTTCTGCTATTAACTATTTTTTCTTAAAATCCACATGCAAAATGGATCATGTAATATTTATCTTTTTGTGCCTGGTTTATTTTACTTAGCATGATATCTTCAGGTTCATTTATATTGTCACAAATGACAGAATTTTATTTTTTATGGCTCAGTATCTCATTGTGTGTATATATAGCATTCATTCATTGTTGGGCTGATTGCATTTCTTGGCTATCATAAATAGTGCTGCAATAAATACAATAATGCAATTTTTAAACTAATTATATTTCCTTTGGATATATGCCCAGTAGTGGGATTGCTGTATCATATGGTAGTTCTATTTTTAATTTTTTGAGGAACTGCCGTACTATTTTCCACATGGCTATACAAATATTTAATTCCACCAACAATCAGTAACTGTTCTCTTTTCTCCACATGCCCGCCAACACTTGTTTTCTTTAGTCCTTTTCATAGCATCCATTCTAACTGAAGTGAGGTGGTATCTCATTGTTGGTTTGATTTGCATTTCCTTGATGACTAGAGATGTCTAGTAATTTTACACATACACACACACACACACACACACACACACACACACACACACACACACACGTCAGCTATTTATGCATCTTCTGTTGGTAAATGTTTATTAATGTTTAACCCATTTTTAGTTGCGGTATTTAACCCACTTTTAACCCATTTAACCCATTTTTAATTGGGGTATTTATTTTATATAAATTTCTTTGCTAAGTCCATTATATATTATGGATATTATGGATATTAGCCCCCTTTTGTATACATGGTTTAAAAATATTTTCTTCCATTATACATTATAGATATTAGCCCCTTTTCGTACATACAGTTTGAAAATATTTTCTTTCATTATGTAGGTTGTATTTTCATTTTGTTTATTGCTTTCTTGGCTGCACAAATCTTTTTAATTTGATATAATCTTATTTTTCTATTTTTATGCCAGTCTCATGTTCTTTTGGTTACTATAGTAGCATTATAGTATATTTTGAATCAGGTAATGTGGTCCTTCCAATTTTATTATATTTTTACCAAATTGCTTTTGCTTTTGCTATTTTGATCTTTTGTGGCTTCCTGTGCATTGTACCTATTTTTTTCTATTTCTGTATTTTCTGTTTAAGTATGCTCTTGGCATTTAGATAAGGATTGCATGAAATCTGTAGATTGCTTTAGGTAGTATAGCCTCACTAACAAAATTAATTTTTCCTATCCAATGTACAGAATACCTTTTCATATATTTGTGGCTTCTTTATTTCATCAATGTTTTATATTATTCAGTGTTGAGATCTTTCACTTCCTTGGTTATTTCTAGGGATCATATTTTTATATATAGTTGCTGAAAATGAAATTATTTTCTTGATTTCTTCTTTAGATAGTTCCCTATTGCATATAGAAACACTATGAATGTCTATATTTATTTATGTCCTGCAACTTTACTAAATTTATTAGTTTTAACAACTTTTGGTTATTTGGGGGGGTTTTCTAAATATAATAACATGCTATCTTACAAATAGGGATAACTTTACTTCCTCCTTTTCAATTTGAATGCCTTGTATTTTATTTCTTTTGCCAAGTTGCTCTGGCTAGGATTTTCAGAATGCTGTAAAATAGTAGTGAAAATGAGCATCTTTGTTTGCTTCCTGATTTTAGAAAAATAGCTTTCCGCTTCCCCCATTCAGTATGATGTTTGCTGCAAGTTTTTACGTTCACTTTATTGCTTTGAGTTACATATCTTCTGTACCTAACTTGCTGAGAGTTTTGTGGTCATAAAGATTGCTAAATTTTGCCAAATGCTTTTTTACACTGAAATGATCATATAAATTTTGGATTTCTTTTAATGCTGTGTGCCACATTTATTGATATGTGTATGTTGAGTTATTCTCACTTATCTAGGATTAATCTCATTTGGCCATAGTGAATTTTTTTTTTAATGTGCTATTGAATTTGGTTTCCTAATGTCATCTATGGTTATCAGGGATATACTGTAGTCTGTGTTGTATTATGTCTTTGCCTATTTTTGAGGTCAGCGTAATACTGACCTTATGAGTTTTAGAAGTGTTCATTTCCCTGTAATGGTTAAAAATTGTTTGAGAAGAATTGGTATCAGTTATTTTTTTTTTAAGAAAGATTTACTGAGAGGACAGATAAGCTCTCACAGTAGGAAGAACCCGAGAGGGTTGCCCTAGTTCTTTAATGTTTGTCAGAATTCAGTAGTGAAGCCATCAGACCTGAGCCTTTGTTTTTAAAAGAAGAATTTTATTACTGATTCAACTTTCTCACTCATTATTGACTTGTTCAGTCTTCTATGTTTTTTCACAATTTAATCTTGGTAGGTGTCTATGTCTAGAAATTTGTCCATCTTTTCTATGTTTTCAAAACCCTTGGTGTATAGGCTTTTATATAATATTCTTTTATGGTCTTTGTATATCTGTGGAATCTGTTGTAATGTTCTTTTTTTCATGTCTGATTTTATTTAGTTGAATCTTCTCTATTTTCTTTTTAGTTAATCTAGCTAAAAGTTTGTTGATTTTGTTTATCTTTTTAAAATCAACTTAGTTCATTTTTTGGATTGTATTTTATTCTCTAATGTGTTTACTTGTGTTCTGTGTTTATTGTTTTCTTCTACCATTTTTAGGTCTAGTTCCTATTTTTCTATTTTCTTGATGTGCTTCATTAGTGCAATTACTAGAAATCTTTCTTCTTTTTTGATGCAGATGTTTATTATTAACCTCCCTCCTAGAACTGCTTTTACTATATCTCATATTTTTTTATTAGTGTTTTTATTTTCATTTGTCCTTGGGAATGTATTAATTTCCATTTTGTTTTTTTTTTTTCATTGAGCCATTGGTCATTCAAGGGCATGCCATTCAATTTTTTAATAAATTGACAGTTTCAAAACTTTCTTTTCTTATTCATTTTGATGGTGTGCTCTGTAAATGTCTAAGTACATTTGGTCCATGATGCAATTAGTGTCTAATATTTCTTTATTAATTTTATGCCTCATTCATTTGTCAAGTTCTAAAAGTGGGGTGTTTAAATCCTCTACTATTATTGTATTGCATTCGATCTCTTTCTGTAGGTTTAGTAATATTTGATTTATATACTTTGGTACTCCATTGTTGGGTGCATATTTATTTATAATTTTAATATTCTTTTGTGAACTTGAACTCTTTATCATTGTACATGTACAATCACCTTGTTTCTTTTTACATTTTTTAACTTAAGGTTTATTTTATGTGATAAAATATAGCTGTTCCTGTTTACTTTTGATTTCTATTTGCATAGCATATCTTTCTCATCTCTTCACTTTTGGTCTGTGACTGTCTTTAATGGCAAAGCGAGTCTTTTGTAGGCAGCATACAAGTTTTTTTAAATCCCTTTTGCCACTTTATGTATTTTAATTACATATCTTAATTTATTTCTATTCAAGGTCATTGATAGATGAGAATTTATACCTGTTGTTTTTTTCATTGTTTTCTGGTTATTTGTAGATCCTTTGCTCCTTTTTACCTCTATGCTGTTTACTCTTGTGTTTGCTGTTTGTTTGTTTGTTTGTTTTTGACACTAAGCTTTCTTTCATTTATTTTTATTTTTATTTTTATCACATAGTTATGGGGTACATGTGAGGATTAACTACATAAGTAGCTGCATGCTGGTGAGATTTGGGCTTCTAATTAGCCCTCACTCCCCCTAGTAGTGAACCAGGTACCTTTTTGTGTTGTCATGTGTTACCTTTCACCCTCTACCTTCCTCCCTAGCAGTGCCCAGCAACTGCCATCGCATTCTTGTGCTAATGTGACTAGTGTTCAAGGCCCACTTATGAGTGAGAACATGCAATATTCAGTTATTTGTTTCTGTGATAGTTCACTTAGTATGATGGTCTCCAACACCACTCAAGTTGCTGCTAAGTTCGTGATTTTGTTCTTCTTTATGACTGCATGATGTTTTATCATGCATTTGTATTACATTTTCTTTATCCAATTCACTTTCGATGGGCAGCAGGGTTGGTTGGTTTCATGTTTTGGCTATTGTGAATAATGTGGTAATAAACATGCATATACAGGTAGGTGTCTTTTTGGTAAAATGACTTATGTTCCTCAGGGTATATTCCCCTGAGAAGGAATGGTTAGTTTGTATGGAAGATCAATTTTTAGTTCTTGCCACATTGTTTTCCATAGAGTTTGAATTAGCTGCATTCTCACCAACAGTGTAAAAGTGTTCCCTTTTCACAACACCTGCACCGACACTTGTTATTTAGAACTCAAAGTGAAAGGAAAACACACACACACACACACATACAC